CCAGGCTGGACACTGGGCTTGGATCCCCCTGGGGCAGTGGGAGCTGTCCCTGCCATGGATGGGCTTTAATGTCCCTTCCCACCCCAACCATTCCGGGATTCTCTGACCCAGTGTCCCAGCCCTGAGCTCTCCGTGTCCCCAGCAGGAATCACTGCTGTCACCAGGTGCCACCAGCCTGGGACATCCACGGCCAGCTCCCAGGGCCTGGAATGCTGCAGGGCTCCTTTGGGTGCTCTCCCCTGCCCCTCGTGCCACGGGGGGATTCAGCTGCACTTCCACGGAGGATTCCTTTAAAACACCTTTAAAATAAAATAAAATTCCTTTAAAATCCCTTCGGCTGCTCAGCCCCCTCTGCAGAGCAAACCTGGGCAGGGGCAGAGAGTCACGGGACGCTGTTCCATCAGGGATGGAAGTGCTGGGGAGGTGGGAAGTGCCGGGGGTTGCTGGCTTTCCCTCAGCTTCCAGGGCCAAAAACCCCTTTGGAATTCCAGAAGCATCGTCTGGAACATTGAGGAGCAGCGGCTCAGAGCCGGCCGAGCTTTGTGCTGTCCGTGGGAGGAGCCCTGGAAGGGCTCGGTGTCCCAGCAGGGAATTTCCCAGCTCTGCCCGGCGCAGAGGGGCTCTGCTGCCCAGGAGGGGTCACCGAGCCTGGATCCTGCACTCACCCGTGGCCTGGAGGCTCTTCTGAGCCCGCAGGGCTGGGGACGCCGGGATGCTCCAAAGGCCAGAATCAGGGATTTCTTCACACCTAAAACCTGCATCATCCCCAGCACAGGAATGGAGAGGGCTCCGAGAGGAGCCGCTGGGAAAATCCCTGAGGAGCACCGGGCGTGGGGCACGGCGAGCTGCAGAGGTGCCCGAGCCGTGGGCATTCCGGCCTGGGGGGCACCGGGGTCTCACCGCTGCCCAGCTGCCTGCGGGCTCCGGGCACGCAGCCCCAGCCTGGCTGCCAAGCAGCCCGGCCGCCAGCCGAGCCTCAGCCCGTCCCGCGGCACAAACGAATGCCAGCCTCACATCGCCACTGCCCACCTCTGCCCCTGCCTGGGGCTCGCTTCCAGAGGGAAAAGCTACTCCGGGTATCCCCCAGCTCCTCTCCGACTCTGGCAAGGCAAGGCGGGAGGAAGAGGATGATCCTCCTCCTTTCCATGGTAGATTCTCCCTTAAACAGGCTGGGAGACCCGGGAGCATCCAACCCCTGCCAAAACCCGCCGGGCTAAAACCGAGCCAGGCCTCCAAAGGTGAAAACCAGGGCAGAAACCAGAGCCGAGAGCCGGGGCTGGGTTTCCGTAGGGACGGGACCGAGAGGGAAGGAGGGAACGGAGAGGGATGGAGGGAACGGAGAGGGATGGAGGGAACGGAGAGGGATGGAGGGAACGGAGAGGGAAGGAGGGGACGGGAGGGAAGGAGGGGACCGGAGGGAGGGAGGGAACCGGAGGGAGGGAGGCTGCCCTGCCACCGCAGGGGGCTGCTGGCAGCACCGAGGTGAGCCCGGGCCGGGCTGGCGCCGCTCCGGGCCAGCAGGAGCAGCGAGGAGCCGGCCGGGCAGGACAGGAGCCCAGGGCGGTGCCAGCGGGGGCAGCGGCAGCACCGGGGGAGCCCACGGAGCCTTTGGGGTGCTGGAGCCAGCCGAGCCCCCCGGAAAGCCCAGAGACCCCCCAACTCCACCCGGGGCACAGCCAGCCCTGCTCTGGGGGCGTTCTGCTGCCCCACGGACGCTCCCAGCTCACGGCGGGAGCCCAGATCCCTGTGCCCGACTGGGCCGGGCTGCGAGCGGCGGGGGCAGCTGGCCCGGAGGATTTTCTCCTGATCCGTGTGACGGAGCAGCTCCCCCCGGGAGGGCAATCCCGCCTCCCGGCAGCCCGGAGCCCCTTCTGGCACTTCTGGCACCGGGATGCGGTGCCAGCCTTGGCCAGCCTTGGCTCGGCCGCGGTCACGTTTGCCCATTACCTCATGCGTGGTGTCACCTCCACAGCCACCCCCTCCCTCCCTGAGGGTCGCGCCAAACTGTTCGGGTTTTGTCGTAAAAAACAAAACAGCAAAAGCTTTTCAGCAGAAATCTCGGTTTGTGTCGGGCTAAAGGGTGGAAGTGTTCATCTAGGGCAGGACCTTGCAGCCACTCCCGCACAGGTTCATAAACCACACGGTGAAGGCTGATTTTCCTCCCCGGGAGCTGAGCCTGTTTCAGGACCAGCTCTGAGGGTGAGGGGAGGTTTTTGGGAGCCGTGGCAGGAGGCTCCCGTGCTGCTGTCTCAGAGCAAGGACAGTGTTCTCCATGCCTGCGAGGGAAGGCAGCAGAGCTGTCCCCGGGTGTGCGTGGCAGAGACCCAGACTGCAGAGCCTGCACATCCCCTGGCATCCTGAGGGGCCAGATGGGCACAGCCAAAGCAGCCAGAGGGGCTGAGCCCCGGGGGCCCCACGCCTGCAGCCAAGGAGAGGGGGGGAAGAGATCCGGGACCCGCGGGTCCAGCCCTGGTTGGATCCAGCACATCCCTCCCAGCAGGCTGGGCTTGTCCTCAGGGGCACAGGGGAATATTCCCAACCTGGTCACCATTCTGGTCCCCATGATCTCCTGAAGCTCCAAATTCCAGGGTCACTGAGCACTGCAGGGCGAAATTTTGACTTTGATTTACTGAAACCCATGGTCTGGTCATTGCCCTGGGCTCCCCTCACCTCCCGTGAGGGACAAACGGGGAATAATGGGATGCCACGGGACACTTCCACCCTCTGGTCACTGCCTGCACCTCTCCAGCCCCTCTTGCATTTCCAGCCCGACCCTCAGGGCTCATTCCCCCGATGCCCAGGGGGGTTTGCTGCCTCCTTGCCCCTGTGCCGGGGCTCTGGGCGCGGTTGCAGAGGCAGCAGCTCCCCCAGGGAGGGGAGGTGCTGCGAGACACAAATCCCGGGATCTGCCCAAGGTGAGGCCGTGACTCATCCCGGAGCCAGGAATAGCTCGGGAGCAGAGCCCTTCACCTGCTGCTGCCACCTGGGCTCAGCCTGGCACGGCCCTGGGCACGGGGCACAGCCCGGCACATCTGGGCACAGCCCGGCACATCTGGGCACAGCCCGGCACATCTGGGCACAGCCCGGCACATCTGGGCACAGCCCGGCACATCTGGCCGGCCAGCAGGGCTGCAATCACTTGGAGGCAGGAAAAAGGCATTTCGGGAGGCCAGGGAGGGGCCCCCTCCTCTTCTCCAGCTCCTTTGCATGCACAGCCCCGCTCCTGCTCAGCCGAGCTGCTGTGCGCTGTACAAACCGCGGGTTTGCACCCCAAACATCTGCCTGAACATCCCTCCCGGCGGCTTTGAGCCCAGCAGCCAAAATGCCCAGAGCAAGCCTTCCCCTCCGCGCCCCAGCCGTGCCAATCCGCAGGCCGGTGACACTCCGCTGCCCAAAGCATCCCTGCATCCCAAAGCATCCCAAATCGCCGCCGAAATGCCGAGCGCCGGGCAGGGCAGCAGCGCGGCCAGGCCGGCTCCCCGCGGCTGAGGATGCTCGGCGGGGGAGGCGCCGCCAGGATCCCTCCCGAACCTGCCGAGCCCGCCCGGAAAGCTTCTCCTGGGGGCCGGTGGGGCTCGCGGCGTGGATCTGCCTTCCGCAGCCCGGCCCCGAGCCCGCCGCACGCCGGCCTGGGTGGGACCCTGGGCCGGGAGGCTGAGGCTGCAGGGAGGCAGCTCCACGCAGCTCAAAGATCCTCTCAGCTCAGAATTCCTCACAGCTCGGAGCTCCTCACAGCCTGAGCCTCTCAGCTCAAAGATCCTCTCAGCTCAGAATTCCTCACAGCTCGGAGCTCCTCACAGCCTGAGCCTCACAGCTCAAAGATCCTCTCAGCTCAGAATTCCTCACAGCTCGGAGCTCCTCACAGCCTGAGCCTCTCAGCTCAGAGCTCCTCACAGCTCAGAGCTCCTCTCAGCTCACAGCTCCTCTCAGCTCAGAGCTCCTCACAGCTCAGAATTCCTCACAGCTCAGAGCTCCTCTCAGCCTGAGCCTCTCAGCTCAGAGCTCTTCTCAGTTCAGAACTCCTCACAGCTAGAACCTCTCAGCTCAGAGCTCCTCTCAGCCTGAGCCTCTCAGCTCAGAGCTCCTCTCAGCTCACAGCTCCTCTCAGCTCAGAGCTCCTCTCAGCTCACAGCTCCTCTCAGCTCAGAGCTTCTTTCAGCTCAGAGCTCCTCACAGCCTGAGCCTCTCAGCTCAGAGCTCCTCTCAGCTCAAAGATCCTCACAGCTCAGAATTCCTCACAGCTCGGAGCTCCTCACAGCTCAGAGCTCCTCTCAGCTCAGAGCTCCTCACAGCTCACAGTTCCTCTCAGCCTGAGCCTCTCAGCTCAGAGCTCCTCACAGCTCAGAGCTCCTCACAGCTCAGAGCTCCTTTCAGCCTTTGCTTCTCCTCCGGGCCGCTCTCTCTGCCGCAGGAGGAGCCGGCATCCACCTCCCGCTCCGCACCCCGCATCCAGCCGCGACAGGCCGGCAGAAAATATCAAAAATCCGGCCGGGAGAGGAGCGGAGGGGAGGCAAGGGGGAGGAAGAGCAAGCCCGGCACCTTTGGCGCTTCTAGAAGGAGCAAGAGCAACCAAAGGCATTCACGGGGAAAAAATAGCACAGGGCGAAGGAGAGCCTGGGGAGATGCAAATCCGAGAGAGGAGCAGCCCACGGTGGGACGGGAGCCAAGGCTGCGGAGCAAGGGCCGGAGCCGCGGGGATGCCCCGAACGCCGGGGAAAGCAAAGGCTGCGAGCGCAGGCTCCTTGCTGCACGGCCGGGGCTTGCACACGCGTGTGCACACCCGCGTGGGGCCGCGGCTGCGGGAGGGATGCTGGGCGCGCAGAGCAGCAGAGATTTGTCAAAAATATCGCGATTATTAGTTAAAAAGAGAGAAGGGAGGGGGGGACATGAAAAACAGAGCGAGAGAAAAGGGGGAGGGGAGGAGGGAAGGGGGAGGGAAGGGGCATGGCGTCACGGGAGAGATTTCCTTATTGGGACTCCCTAGCCTACATCCTGAGTCCATGTATGGGCATTTACGTCACGGCAGCCTCACTGGGGACTCCAGAAATGGCTGCGGCGGAAGGTCGGAGCAGCCCCGCTCCCGCTATAAAGGGGGCGGCGGGGAGGGAGCGCCGGGTGTCCGCTCGGGCTGCGCCGCCGCCGGGCCCTGCCTGCCTCCCCCCGCCCGGCCCTGCCCCCGCAGCGCCCCCGACCCCCGCCCCGGCACCCCCGCACCGCCCCAAGCACCCCCGGCA